GAAGATTCCCCCCCCCCCATGGAAGGCCTCTCCCTCCCTGGGGAGCAGATAGGGGTTGGGATGGTAGGTCAGTTGGGTGCAGGGGAGGAGGGGAGAGGGAACTGAGGTTGACATATAAAAGAAGCTTCTTCCTAATTTAAATAAAAAATAAATAAAAATGAAGTTAGAAGAAAAAAAAGAGGCTTGAGGGATCCTGTTCGTTCCCTGAGCCACATAAAATACACAGCAAGTAAGAGGATTAAACCCCACGTTCGCTGATGGCTGACCTTGGACTTCTCAGTTTCCGTATCTGTGAGCTGTGAGTTACTCTTGTTTGTGATGTTATCCAGGCTATAGTATTTTGTTCCAGAAGCCTGAACAGATTCAGACTATTATACAATGCTGCTTGGCACACTCAAATTATTATTTGCATGTGTACTCACACAGTCTGAAGGGGACAGAATGAACAATGGTAACTGCCTTACCCAATCATAAACTTCATTTTGCCCTTTCTAGCTGCATCAATTAGGATAGGGACTAACTGGGGGTCCCTTGGGCCGAAAATGCCATGAGGACGAATGGCTGTGGTTAAGAAATTCTTGTCAGGGTTGTTGGCATCCAGTACTTCCTGAAAGAGAGCAGTAGAGAAAGGGCCCAGTGTAAGTCTTTTCCAGAGCTAAGATGGTCCCTTACTATGTGTGGAGTACTTCCCGTTAGAAGATAGATCAATGACATACTTGGTGTATGTGCAGGCCACTGGACAATTATCTGCCTTGGGACAAGATATCTCACATTACAATTCTGTATCCCATCTATCCATGAAAAACCAACAATGAAGTAGAAAACTGGCTAACACCTGAGAAAGCTCAGATTGTATTCAATGGCTTCGTACACATGCTGCCAGAAGGTGTATCCTGGCTTCAATTTATGGAAGAGGTCTGAGAGTTCTAGTTAATGGGGTAAGCTTAAGCCTCCAGTAAGGCTGCTACCACCAAAAGAGCTCCTGCATTCAGTGGCATGTGCAAGGCTTCAAATCTACTCATTCACTATGTAACAAATAGTTCAGTCAAAAACAGGCACATATAGTTGGGTAGTTAGCTCAGTCAGCAAAACACTTGTCTTGCAAGCACAGGGACATATATAGATTATAGTTCTAGCTACTTTAAACTAGTTATCAATTGAGTGAATGGCAACCAGAGCTTCGGGACCCAACTCCCCTCAAATGCTGCTAAGTGTCTGTGGTGCTGAGGGGAGTGACCAAGCCTTCAAATGGACTTTGACAAGGCTATCTCTATAGAGTTTGAAAAGTTCCTAGACCAATCCCAAAGATGGCTTATTATTATTAAGAGGGTTTAAAGTGGTGTTGATCTTGTAAACAAGGTAAGTTACTGCTGAAGTCATCTCCAGTTTTTCTTACTTCTAGTTGAGTATCCTAAATCCATGCCAGTGACACATTGATGACTTGAGCCCAGGCTTCCATCTGGAAGTCATGAGCCAACTTAGCTGTGGGTTGGAAGCCTAGCATCTCAGGTGACATTGCACAGAGCCTCTGAGTTAACTATTATTATTTGGAGGCCCATGGTAGGCTTTGGTCTCCCTTAAGCCTAGTTCCACAGAACAGGAGGGCATAGCCTGGACATAGGATTTCTTAACATAGGTGAGAACAGGCTCTGCTGTGATTTCCATGTGACTGTGTCCTTCTGAGTGAGAACAACCAGAACATTTCAGTGTAGAGCCTCAGTTTACAAGTACCGGCTTGGAGAGCAAACCTCATTGTATGTTGTGCTACAAAGGCCTAGGATACGTAAGTCCACAGCTGCCCAAGTAACTGTGGGGGTACAGGGGTACCCCAACCTGCAGTACAGAATTTCCAGTGTTTTGGAAACTTCAATGCTCAGCCCACAAATTCTGCCCAACACATTCACATGGAAATTATGGGATCCCTAAGGAAGATTGGATCTGTGTATTTTCCTATAATCTGGAGACCGTAAGAGTGCCTGTTGTATTAGATCATTTTGGAGAGTAAAGGAAATAGTCCCTATAAAATACTGAGAACAGTATCTGGCCACATTAAGTCATTTTGTCCTCTTGAAATTTAATTCCACACATGAATTTACATCTCATGTTGGGTACTTAGGTCTCAAAATACTAACTTTCCCATGTTCAGAGGCATTTTTTCTTATGAATGGATACACCCGATGTTTTTGTTCATTTAACTGGCTTTAAAGTACATACTCTCTCCTGTAAGATCTTGGTCTCTGTGTAGTAGTCAATGGGCTTCATGGCATAAGGGAGGTCTTCAGTTCCATTTTTTATGTCAACACCCTCAAAGACGACACTGGCACTGCTGGTTAAAATGAGTTTCTGGCAGAGAAAGATTTAAAGTAAAGCACAAGTCAGGAAATATTGCTATTCCAACTGCCTAAGAGTCATATATGAGCAAGCCCTATCCACAAGGCACTTCCAAGTCACCTGCTGGAGTGCCTTTTCTTTTACATCTTCTAAGATACCTCAAAATTAAACACCTTTGTAGCCATAGGGACTTAAGACACATTCTGGTATTACAATCTAAAATAAGTTGATCTCGTTTTTCTCCAATCCTATCATGTCTGAAGAGAAAACAAAACTAACACTATTCATGGTAGATTCCTATGGGAGAGAATCTCCATGGAGGGAGGGATGGACTACCAACCAGTAGGGAAAATTCTGCTTGCAAAATCCCACTGTATACTCTAATACCAATCTTGCCATGTGAACACAAACATATGCATATGCACCTAAGCCATGCTTTGCTAGTAGAGGCAAGCACCTAGTATGTGTAAGGCCCAAGGTTCACTCCACAGCACCATGTTAAAAGGAAGGAAAGAAGGAGAGAGGGAGGGCAGGCAGGCAGGCAGGCAGGCAGGCAGGCAGGTAAGCAAGCAAGCTAGCTAGCTATATTTTAAAGGAAGATGCTCTCTTCTGCAGATCCCTAGATTATATCATTTTGGTTAAGAGCAGTTCATCTGATACGGACACTATTAGCTCCCTTTATTTCTTTTATTCTACATCATTCTACAAGTCCTAGCCAGAGTGGTAGAAGACAAACACAAATTTATAATGTTTTTAAAAACAAGAAACTAAACTAATCTCTCAACCTTCTTCATGCTTCAACCCTTTAATACAGTTTCTCATGTTGTGGTGACCTCCGACCATACAATTATTTCGTTACTACTTCCTAACTGTAATTTTGCTACTGATATGAATTGTAATGTAAATATTTGATATGCAGGATATCTGATATGTGATCCCTGTGAAAGCATCATTCTACTCCCAAAGGGATCGTGGCCCATAGTTTGAGCACTGCTGTAGTAGTAGATGATAGAAATAAAAAGATACAATGCCTACCCCTCCCCCCAAAAAACATGGGCAAGCCTACAGAAAATATTAAGAGTTCAGCAAACTAGCTGAATTCAAAATCAATATAAGGAAATTAGGAGCTGGAGAGATGACTCAGGTTAAGAGTGTTTAGTGTACTTGAAATAAACCTGAGTTGGGTTCCCAACACCTATATTATATGGCTCACAACCACTTGTAACTCCAGTTCCAAGGAGATTTGATTCCTTTGGCCTCTGAAAGCCCCTGTACACGCATGTGTACATGCACACACACTATCACACACACACAAAAATAAACACCAAAAAACCCCCAAACCCCTAGGAGATATAATATGAAAATTACCTATATTCTGAAACATTAGCAGGAATTGAAAATGTAGTATGTTGGTGATTAACAAATGATGGGGTACAAAGGAATAAATTCAACAAAATATGTAGAAAACCTTTGTGAAGTACAGTACAATTATCACTGAGTTATATTATAGATTGGGAGATATTTCACATTCATAGATAGAAGACTCAATGTTAGAAAGACATAAGCTCCTTTTTAAAATTACCCAGAATATAAATGCAATTGCAGTAACAATCCTAGTCAACTTCATCAAGGAACTTGACAAGCTGATTTTACAGTGGATGAGAAAATTTGAACAAAGGGCTCAGAACAACTAAGGGATCATTAAAGAAGTTTGTCAGGGAGTGTGTCCTGCTAGATACTGACACAAATGCTGTGTCCAAAGTATGTTGCAGGCAGCATATATTTACACAAAGGTTGGATTAAGCCATCAGCATGCTAAACTGATTATTTGGAAAAAAAATCGACCTTGACCCTATTGCATATAATTATAGATTTCTGGTTAATTAGATTTAAATATGGGAAGTAACACTTTAATTATTTGAGATAAAATACTTTGAAGACTTTTTTGGTTTTGGTGTTAGAGATAATGTTCCTTACATCAATTTCCTTTTGGCCTTACACACCAAGCTATCTACCCCCTTAGAGGATGAACAAGAGTTGTATATATCAAGATGCATAAAGCTCAGAAACTTAATATTGGTGGAAAAAAGTTTCAGAAAGATATGTTCAGTATATTATTGGTATAAAGTTCTACAACATGCAGGGTAACACCTTATACTGTATGTGTATGGAATTAATAGAAATAACAAGCCCAGATTCAGAACTGTTGCCCAACATCAGTGAAGAAGACATAGTGACAGTGAGGAAGGGGGCCCAGATGGCTTCAGTTATGCTAGTAGCAAACACTTTGCTGTTGTATTGTTCTGTGCCTTTGATTTAACCAACAGCAGTGTGGGTGCTTCACAGAACTCCTGGAGTGGAGTGTCTAGATCTTGGCAGCAGAAGGTCTGCTTTGATTCCCATCTCTTTTATTTATTACCAGAGACTTTGCTTCGTCCCTGGTTACCTAAGAAAAAAAGTAGGTGACAAATGCAGCACAGCCAAGTTCTTGTTGAGCATAAAGCATAGCTGGGCTGCTTTCACAGTTGGTCTGATTGTCAACTTGATGGGGTTTCAAATCCTCTAGGAGACATACCGCTGGCCATGCCTGTGAAGGCATTTCCACAGAGCTTTAGCTTATGGAAGGTAATCCACCTTGAATGGGATCATGGGCTGGGGTCCTGAACAGGAAGAAAGGAGGAAGTCAACTGAATACTGGCATCCATCTTCCTCTTTCCTGCTTACAGACGTAATACCATTACCCAACGGGAATTTTAACTGATGGGTATCCAGAAGAGTTCCCCTCTCATCCATTCTTGTTGGGTCAGTTGATTACTGGGAACTGGCCAAAAGTACCCAGGAAAATTATTGGGAGAAAGCTCCTGCTCTCTGTACCCTTTTTCTCAATTTCAAAGTATTTGTGGCATGCAGCACTATGAGCAAATGAGCTGTTGCACCCAGAGGCTGGGGTTCCATTAAGGTCGTTTTAGGCGCCAGATTTCTAACAGTATTGTGAGCTGACAAGGCCAAAATTTGTATGCCCTTAGGCATAAGTCAGGATATGTTTCTGTCAGATATAAGCAACAGTGCTTTCCTTCTTTTTCTTTTAAAATAAAACCAGGTTGTTAGCCAATGTGATGATTTTTTATAAAAAGGTTCAGCAAAAAATTAACTTATGATCCAGGAATCGCATCCCTGGGTAGACTCAAAAGAATCAAAAGCAAGCAGGGCAGTGAAGGCACAGGCCTTTAATCCCAGCACTGGGGAGGCAGAGGCAGAGGCAGAGGCAGAGGCAGAGGCAGAGGCAGAG